CATAACAAACAGGCAATAAATAAAGCTAACAGCATCGTAGGTGTCACAAGGAGATCATTTGTATATTTGGACGAAAATATGTTCACAAATCTTTTTAAAGCGCTAGTTCGACCTTATTTAGAGTATGCTGGAAGTGTTTGGAGTCCACACTAAATTAAGGACATCGAAGGATAGAGAACGGTCAAAGAAGATCTACAAAATTACATCCCAAGTCTAAAACCATTAGCTACAGTGAGAGACTACGTCGATTGAAGCTTCCAACTCAAATATACAGGCGCTTGCGCGGAGATATGATCAACATGTTCAAGTTTATAAATGAACTATATGACCCAATTTGGTGGAGGTATTGTTCGATCTCACTGCTCAAGGAAAAACTCGTGGACACGGTAAAAAATGCTCAAACAATATTTAAGTATTAGAAAACACTACTTTACTCAAAGAATAATTGATATCTGGAATAGTCTCCCATACGATGTCATTTCATCTCGTAAGGTACTTGACTTTGAGAAATTATGGAAAGATCTTGAGTTGAAGTAAGGTCATACAGCGCCTTATATATATATATATATATATAGAAAAAATAAAATTAACGACCGACTAAAAAACTAGCTGCTTTCACCCTTCACAGGGCTCTTCAGGTTTATTCAAAAGAGAACAACGTCGTGACGTCACAATTACATGTCATCACACTACAATAGTAACGTGACGTCACGAAGTACACAAGATTGGTGGACAATTTGGCGTAAAATTTTATTGTGTCCTGTTGAGACTCGGTTTTAATATTTTTATTAGTTGGTCTTCTTTCGTTTCTCTTAAAATAGTGTCTGATGAAAATAGTTGATACAAAGGTAATACATTAAATTTATCTCTAGCACATTCATGAATATGTTTGTTAACATGAAGATTTCGTAAAGATCAGTTCTAGTTTGTTGTCTATGTACAGTCGTACGTGTTCTGAGTTCATTACCGGTTTGACCGATGTAAAAATGAACTCAGAACACGTATGACTGTACATAGACAACAAACTAGAACTGATTCTTTACGAAATCTTCATGTTAACAAACATATTCATGAATGTGCTGGAGATAAATTTAATGTATTACCTTTGTATCAACTATTTTCATCAGACACTATTTTAAGAGAAACGAAAGAAGACCAACTAATAAAAATATTAAAACCGAGTCTCAACAGGCCACAATAAAATTTTACGCCAAATTGTCCACCAATCTTGTGTACTTCGTGACGTCACGTTACTATTGTAGTGTGATGACATGTAATTGTGACGTCACGACGTTGTTCTCTTTTGAATAAACCTGAAGAGCCCTGTGAAGGGTGAAAGCAGCTAGTTTTTTAGTCGGTCGTTAATTTTATTTTTTCTAT